CTAAACACACAGGAGAGTGATTCGCAAAAATTTTAATCTTTATTTGTGTGTTGCCTTGCAAATTTTAATATTTTCTATTGGTGCGTTTTTGATATGTAGGCTTCCTCCTGGCTCTATAATTTTTTTGAGCACTGAGTTTCGATATTCCCCAGCTTGCCCAACCACTTGATACTTTTCTAACATCATTTTCTACTTCACCAGAAATTTTGGGAGACGAAAGTTTTGGATTATTGGTCACTTTTCGAGCAAATATTTTCTACTCGCCTGTGATGAAACTTGGTGGACGTCCTGCTCGTCGCCTATTTTCAATTGATCCCGTTAATTTGTAACGTGAAATCATGTCACGGACAGTTGACGAGATTTTTTGACCAACTCAGCAATTTCTTGTTGCGTCTTCCCCCCATTTTCGTAGTGATGAATGACCAAATCTTGAATAGCGACTGTTGTTTCATTATTGGGCATTTTCTTCTGGGATATATTTTTTTAATTGAAGTGGAATTATTTTATATATACATCAATAGTAGGTGTACTTAAAAATTAAAAAAGTTGTTATCCTACTTTAGTAATTTTAAAAGTGCTATCATTTTAATTGTTTGTGGCGATGACTTTTGCACCGGTGCTCATTTCTTAACTTCACGCTATGGGTCCGTACGGAGTGAAAAAAAATCTTACAACAAATTTTCTTTGGTGAATGTTTGTGTACTAATTTGTCTTCAAAATGAGATAACGACCTTTCAAAAATTCCCCGTACTTACTGAGAAACTATGATTTAAATTGTGCTTGTGGTTTTGGGCGTTCACATTTGCTCTCCAGTGTATGTGCATATTTATGGTGCCATCAAGTAATGAAATGGTCTCGCAAAATATTTTGGTTGATAAAAAATTTAAATGGGAAAAACTTATTTAAGATAGATATATACAATGAAATAGTGTTTTTTCGCGCTGGAGCGATTTTCAAGTTTGATGGCTTAAAATTTCCGTAATTTTGTGTACATAAAGAATCTAAATAATATTGGGGTGGCGCATGGACAGTTTTCGCGATACGAGCCAAAACGTGCGAATTTTCTTGCAAATTTTGAGTTTGATATTAAAATCTTTCAAACCTTGTCGAATATCACCGGAAATAATTTAAAAAAATGATTGTATAGAATTACTAGAATTTGGCCGCTGCCTCGATTTTGGACCCAAATTTTCCAATATGTTGAACTTTGCAAAATAATTGCAATTTCCATATTATTTTTCCACGATGGAATTACGGTATTTATTAAAGGTTGTTGGCGTATTGCTTAATTATACCTCGTGGCTATGAACATATTTTGCTAATTACAAAATAAATTTTGCCATAAGATTTTGCCAAAGGTTTAAAAAAAGTTACATTCGCAATTCGAGTTTCGAAATTTCGATATTACCTACATATCTAAGAACAACTTATTCGTTGGATAAACTTTTTACTTATCAGGAATTTTGAAACCAATACGAAATATTGTTAGTAATGCAAAATCTTGTTAATGCCGCGTCGACTTGTTTTTGATACTTTCAAATTGTGAAAGTTATCTACATATGTGTACATATGTATATGCAAACGGTCATATTCATTTACCTTTACTGTAAGCTAATTTCCAGTATTCCCCTGTACCGTAGCATTCCAATGAGCATATAGCTGGACGAGTATGAAACTGGTTCTTCAGTTCCGGTCGTAAAAAGGCCAAAATAACTGTACTTGTACTCTTTCCTTCGTCAAACAATTGGTGCGAGGTGACCACACTCAGACATCCAAATTGTAGTAAAATTAGCCAGGGTACTGTCATTTAATTGCATATTATAATTATTATGTAATGATTTTTGAAAAACAAATATTTATGTACTTACCTGAGAAATATGCCCCTCGATCCTTTCTTCCCTTAGATATTAACATGATGCAAAATTACACCGAGCAACACACCCCTTATATATTTCTTATTTTTTTAACTACAACTGATAAATCTTTATTGAAGTCTCCCATTTATGATTTTGGTGGGTATTAATTATTATCCGACGGATATTGAAGTGCTAGCTGGATATCTTGTTAAAAATGAAAGTAATGAAATAATAGAGACGAAAAAGCTATACTGTAAAGAAAAATATAAATCGTGTCATATATGTATCATCCTCAATTCAATCAATTCGATGAGATATAAGTGAGTGCATCAAAATTGAACCAGAGAGAGGATTATGTTATCGTCAAGTTCAAGAATTTGACATTTCTCTCTCTATTTTATCCAGTTAAAACAAACCATATCGCATGTTTTTTCTCTGAAACACCCAAGCCATACTAGACACCGATACATATTAAATATGGTTACCGATAAAATGGAGTGATTACTTTGGATCGCTAATAACTAATTGGCTTGATTGTTGTCTCTTTTAGAGATAACTTAGGCTGCATATGAGATGTAATGAAAGTCACTCATTATGTCTTGGATATAAAACATGCAGGCTGTTTACATACATATCAGTACATAAGACGTGGCACCAGTTTTGTTATCGTGTGACATTTTAAAGGTCAAGCGTTGTCTGTACATACTAACAAGGGACACTCACGACCTGTCGTTTGAGTCCAGGGTACCCACTATGTTTTTTAGAATCTACTAGGACCCCAGATGAAGGATTCATTCATATTTCCGTGTAAAACTCATATTTGGCGACGTGGCGTGGCGCCAAATTCGCCAAAATTGAATGTTTTTATTTTTGAAACCGCCATAACTTTTGAAATCCTGGACGGATTTTCAAAATTTTTGGCAAAAATCATGACAAAGAGTTCAACTTTCTTATTCAATGAAATTTTTTCTAAAATTATCGCTTTTAACTTTTCGCAAAATTTCGTAATTTTCTTCGAAATGGGGGTTCGTCGAAAAAATCCTAAAAATATTGCAAAAATTAGAAATTTTTTATTTTTATTTTTTTGTCAAAAATTTCGACTTTTGTGATCATTTTAAGCATACAATTTTGAAAATCCGACATAAACTGCAAAAGTTATGAGGGTTTGAAGTTGGTCGAAAATGCAAATTTTTAAGTTTGGCGCCACGCCATGGCGCCAAATATGAGTTTTACACGGAAATATGAATGGATCCTTCATCTGGGGTCCTCGTAGATTCTAAAAAACATGGTGGGTACCCTGGACTCAAACGACAGGTCGTGAGTGTCCCTTGTAAGATTTATACTGCTAAGACGTGTTATTACTCTCTGGAGGAAAAACTAACGCAATCATATTTGTATTTTAAAGAGGGCTTTATTTTAGTTCAATTTATTCAATTTATTCAATATCTCAATGCGAAATTCTTAAAATCGGTAAAATCCTAATAAAATTAACCGATAATTTAATTAGTTCAGCACATTATGAAAACATTTATACAAAATTGGCTAATACAATGAAGTCCAACAGCATATTTTTTACGTATCTACATATGTACATAAGTATGTGCATTGCATAGTTTTTAAGACGATAATTCATGTGAGAGGTTTTGCAGGAGGATTAGCACAATGCTACATACTGATATATGTATGTATTAGCAAGCCCACTATAATACATATTTAATAAATAATCTAGATATTCGAGCGATAATTACCATCACATGATTTTATTGATTACTGCAGTGTATTTATCAGTAGTAATCTGATTCATTAAGTGGTGAGAAGGATGAAAATAAAAAGCATGAGATTAGTTCATTATCGTATTTTCAAGATCGAGTATAAGAAAAATCAATCAAGGACAAATACTACGATTGCATAATAAGACGACAAATTTTACTTTAAATTATTAAATGATATCAGAACGGGACGAAATATGTGTGCATATATCCAGGGTACATATTTACATAAATCTGGCGTCCTATTTATGTATACATATTTGTCAATAATGTCAAATGTAACCACCATTATAAGTATATTGCATGTTGTTAGGTATACGGAATAAAAGCAAGATTATAAGGGCATGATACTAATGAAAGTGGCAGTTTGCCCCGCTCGCTTAATTGTTTTAGGAGTCATGTTAAATTTTGCAAGCCTATTACGTCTCCATCGGAATTTAATCAGCTTTCTGAATCCGAAAACCAAAATCCTTTATCTCTATTCGTTCTAAAATGAGAGCAAAAAGTTCCGAGAAAGTCGCAAAACGGTTTTGCCAAAACGTACCAAATTTTTTTTTCAGGGATCGAAAAAACACTCACAATTTTGTTCCAAATGGAGGAATGTATCGGAACAAAATTAACCGAGTACTGGACAGATACGAGGAACGCGAAAATGCAGATTTCAAAAATCAGTTGCCCGACCTGCCCTCCTGGGATCGGTGAAAGTAGTGAAGAGAGTTGAGATAGCTTTTCTCAAGAAATGCTATTTATTATTTGCAAGACTTTGAATTATAAACTCTAAGTGAAAAGTGTATCATAAAGAGATTGACCCCCTTCATCAAAAACAAGCATGTCATGGACATGACGACATCCCACTATGACAAGATTGTGACAGACTTTTTTCGAAGCAAAAATATCGATTTTGTTGAAAAAAGAGACGACGCTCCAAATATCCCTCAAGCTCGTCCAATTGAACGGTTTTGGGCACTAATCAAGAAGGAATATTCCAATAGACAAAAACCACCCAAAAACTTGCGAGAATTTATACAGGTCATGACGGCAATAATAAAACTCGTTGGGGAAACCAGTGGCAAAACGTTCATGGCGATCGTTCGCAAAAAGCTTGGCTCAATCGGAAGGAATGGAGTGTTTGGACCATTGGTGGACAATTATAAGTAGCTACAGTCCCCATCTATAATCTATATAAATTTCACTAAATTTCCTGTTACCATGCATTTTTTACAGACAATAAACCAACTGCCACTTTCATTAGTATCATGCCCTTATTTTCGTATGGTAGTCATGTCGCTTTGTTTCGTATTTATGTACATAGTATGTAAATAAATTTAACTCAAAATCCAGGTGACCCCTGACATGACCATGTTGACCAATAGTCCTTGAATATTTGGTTGCCCATGATGGTTGGGCAATCAGCCCTCAGTCGAGTTTCGGAGCTAGCTAGATCGAGTCCAGGGGTTTAAAATTGATACTTCTGAACAATGAAGTGGCTTCTTCTCTTTGGTAAGGATAGATATAGACAGTTTCACTAATAGTATTCAAAACTGACCTCCGTTTCAAGAAATTTAATTGGTTTCAAAAAATTATGTTCAAAAATAATTAGTAATTTTCGCAGCTTTGGTGCTAAGCAGCTCGGCGTTTGTCAAACGAGATGTCGGTACCAACCTCTTCACGCCAGGAAAGGAATTCATTTACGGTTTTACAATCTTGTCCCTAGTTGGATCTGATGACTATGTCAAGAGTTCTAGCACATTTAACATTAGTGGGGATATACATATCTCTTCCAACGGAAATGACATTAATGTCAAATTGGATGACATTACGTTCGGAACCCACAATGGCCAGTTTGATTCTCCAAACTATCCGAAGTTCGCGATGAAGGCGTACAACCAGTTGAATCCTTTGTCTGAACCTTTCTCTGTACAATTTACAAATGGCGTGGTATATTTCTTTATATAGCTAATTTATCATATCCTATGGTTTTTGTTACTTATTTAATCCTGGGTTTGCTGCAGGCTAAGGGAATCGTCCTTGACAAAAATTCTGATGAATGGGCCAAGAACATCAAGAGAGGTATTGCCTCCTCCCTTCAACTTGACCTTGGTAAAATTGATATCAAGAAATCTAATAGCTTCGTCACTGAGGAGGTGAGACTCTTGTTCATAACAAAACAATTTGTTTCGCTGCATTCCTAATTTTCTAAATGTTTTTTTTTGAATCTACATAAATATGTAGAGTGGAATTTTAGGTCGATGCAAAACGGATTATGTCATCATACCAGGGGAAGATGACAACCGTGTACTTCGAAACAATGCCCAAGTTCGTAAATTTAGGTCCCACGCACAATGTGAAGATCCTCCTCGCCGATTCCGTAAACCTGGCATGACTATCAAGTATTGTCCAGAGGTTTACTCAAGGGTATATTTTAAAATATTGTTTCCATTATTAATCATAAGTTGATGTCGCCAACCGCTAATAATATTTTTTTCAGGATGTTTTGAACTCAACCTCGTTCTCAGTCTATGACTTGGAAATTCAGGAGGGAAACTTGGTCGCAAAAAACATTCATGTTGGATCATCCGTCGCCTACATGATTTTTGGTGCAGATGGACACAGCCAATCTTCATTCACTATTATGAAGATGAACTTGAAAAGCTCCAACTCTGGATCCGTTCCACCCCCATCCAATCCCAAAACTTTCAACGATTTGAAGTTCGTATTTGAAAATGATGTCAAGGAAGATGAGGATCTCGGCAATCCAGTGCCCTTCTTTTTCCATCACAAAGGTCTTGATCTTGATTCTGCTGGACAAACTAAGGCTGCAGATCAAGTAAGATACGATTTAATTGTGTATCATATGAAATACGGCATTTCTTAGTAAATTGTATCTAGTATAAATTTTTCAATATTTAATGTGTCAAATAGCTCCTTACAAATATCAAAAAGATGCACAATAGTTTCGACACTGCAGAGCTCTACAAGGACGTCAAGGAATTCCACAAAGGTGTTAAATATTAGCTTAGAAGTTCAAATGAAATTAAATTGGAATTTCAGCTTTAATTTTTTTACGTTTATAATTTTTCATTTATGTTCATCCTTTTAGTAAGCCCATTCTCTCTCCTGCCTTTTGTCTCGGCTTTGAACTACCAACATATCAAGGATACTTACGACAACAAGGTGAAAGGAGGAGATGCTACAGAGGAAAAAATGTTCTTGGACGCACTTGCTATTTCCGGAACTGGCCCCGCTGCCCTTGTTCTTCGTGACATTGCTGCTAGCACATCCGACAGTATCTTCCTCACTCGTAACATTGCCCCCATGGCGCACTACATCCGCAATCCAACAGAAAATCTTATAAAGGAGCTCGAGGGACTAATTAAACCTGAAAATACTAAATACAACTCACGTATTATAGAATTTTCTTTTGCTTCCCTACTGGGGCGTGCTTGTAGGAAAACAAATTGTGAAAGGACAGGACTTTTGGATAAGTGGGTTAAATATTGGTCCGACAATCTTGACTGTACGTCTCATTACAGATTTTCTCTCGTTATATTGACTAACTTTAAAAATCATGTACTGACAACTTGCTTGAAATTTATAGCTGGATCTAGTTTTGATGTAAAGACACAAGCGATTCTGGCTCTCCGTAATGTGAACCATTTCAAAGCGGCAGAGAAATTACTACCGATAGCTGTTGACAACAAACAAGAACGGTCAATTCGTACTATGGCTATCTCTGGAATTACTCCGCTTCTTAAGAAAGATCCTCTCGTTTTCAGGAAGAACATCCTCCCCATATTTTTCAACAGACAAGAAGATTCTGAAACTAGAAATCTTGCTATTCTATGGACCCTAGTATCATACCCTGAGGAGAACACTTTCCAACAAATTGGAATCTATATGTGGACAGAGAGGGACCCTGAAGTGAAGAACTTTGTTATAACCCTATTAAAAAGCCTTTCTGGAACGACCGACCAATGTTTGAAGCTCCGGTACGTTCAATTTATTTAGTTTTGAAAAAATAGTCCGATATTATCTGGTATTACATTAATCTATTAACTTTCTAAATACATATATGAAATACTTTTTGACATTAATTTGGTAGTTCATCTTGGGCTAAAACTGCCTTGAGCATGATGGGACGTACTGAAACGAAAAGCAAACATTCTGGCATCTACATTAGCGACTACTACGACCCGCAGTACCATTTCGCCCATCTCACTACTCTGAATGTCCAGAAGGTAAGGAGACATAAGTCAACCCCTTGAAATGAGCCTTGAAGGATTAAAATATTATAATACTTATCGGTTTTAATATCAGAGTGGGCATAGCATTCTTCCACAAACGGTATATTTCGGAGTCAAGAGTTCAGCAGGAGGTTACGCTTCCAAGTATCTCTCTATCTTTGTTCGATTGGAAGGCCTCGGGAAATCCATTTCCTCGCGAATCATGTCCATGATCACTGGTGAAATTGCATTTAATTTTTAATTTCCAATCCAATCGGTTAATTTAAAATAAATGTGACTGCAGGTGTCATTGATTTTGATGAAATCAAGGATATTTTTAATAAAATTGGGGTTCAAGAACGTCAAGCTGATCCACTCCGAATTGAAATTTGTGTAATGCTTCACGATCGATTTGTCGCTTATCACGCTGCTGATGAGAAAACTATTACCACAATCCCACAATGTAATTGTTAATTATAAGTTTTTTCTATGTTACATACTGCTAATGGATTTTCCTTTGAAGTAATGAAGAAACTTGGAGAACTCAGTAATGCTGCTTACGATAAGGAATTCTCCAAGATGATTCTACTCGGTGGGGTCATGACCGAACAACCAAATGAGCTTGGCATTCCAGTTTCAACTATTTCTGGGGTTTCCACTATGGCCAAACTTCACGCTAAGGTTAAATCCGACAAATCGGGAACAACAATGAATCGCAGCTACGAAGTTCATCTTGGTCTAAATGTTCATGGAATCAGCTCAGTCAATAATCACATGGCACCCTTCGGTACTGCACATTCCGTTGAGGCCTTGAGAACCTTAAGGATCCGTATCCCACGCAAGATCACATTCGGGCTTGATGTCAAGCAACAATCCATCAACTTTGCTATTTCTGCTCCTACTGAAGATGATCCAATTATGGCTCAAGTTCATGCAACTGCAGTCACTTCGATTCACTCTGATACCCCGGCTACAATGAATGACAACAAAATTGTCGACCTTCTTCATGAAAGTTGTCCATTGTGCAAGGGAATGGAAGTCATTTCCAAGGGGGAGAAATTCCGTGAGGAAAGGAGATTAGGATCAGGATACAATACAAAGCTTTGGAAGGAGTTAACATTGGTGGCAAGTATTTCGACTGCGAGAAGGTGCATTCCAGGATTCATGTTCTTCGACAGTTGAGGAAATTTTATGGACCCGAGTTCAAGAATCTTGGGTAAGGTTCTGTCTATTGATTTTATATGCAAACTTAAATTGCGTCATATATTAATTTCTAATAAACCATATAGCGGCCGAGCTGGACAATCACTTACACTTTTACGTGTAGGAACTAGATACATGATGTCCAGTTTATTTTTGTCCCCAACTACAGAGACATGTGGAATGAAATTTTGGTATCATAAAGATCTATCTGCCACATCCGTCTTCGACAAGGTTGAAGGTCAAGCTAAGGTCAAATATGAGGAAGATCCCAAGGACAAGCTCGGAAACAAGCTTATGGCAAAGTCCTCCCTTACCTTCACGTACACGGGAACCACCCCCAAGACCCGATCCCTCGACATGACCCTTACCCTAGTTAAGACTGGTTTGGAGAAGATTGAAGTCAAGACCAAGTTGGCTGCCAAGGATGATGCCCTCAACAAGGGTGGAGTCGTTTGCATTGACATCGCCGCTACTCAAGCCAAGGTTTCCGATTTCTTTGACTACAATGGCGAGAATGAACCAACCTACGAGCGAACCATTAATGTCGCCTGGTCCAAGGACATTTCTTCCAAGGATGCTAGCTGCCCCGCAAACTCTGCTGGAATCAAGATCACCAAAAAAGCTCACCGTTCTCAAGCTCAAAAGGATGAAGCTCAAAGTGACGCCTGGCCATACAAGCAATGCCGTGATCAAAAGAGCTCCCCCAAGTACGCACAAACCACATTATTGCCAATATATTGCACATAATTACCAAATAATTGTATGTGTGAAACTGAGATTTTGTGTCCTATTTTGATAGGTACCCTGGAGACCTTACCCCAGCCACTGAACCCTGCCTGTGGGCGGCTTACAAACAGACCAACCTTCGTGAATCCAACGTCACCATCAACTACAAGGTTGACCCAGAAGCAAGAAACCGATGGAAGTACCCTGGAGCACTTGTTGCTGGTTAGTTTGCCATAATACTTTTATCAGAACTGATTTCTTTATGTGAATGCTAATTTTTTGAACATATTTTAGCTGCCCTTATGCCATACTGGGTTCCCTCTGACACTGTCGATGGTCATGCCGCTCATGGTTAGTTGTTTAGTCTTTAATTTCGCATTAACTTATGTAAAAGCCTGCAAATTAATTAAGTTATTATTTTTAATTTGAAGGTGATCATGGAGTTTCTGCTGACGGACACCTTCAAGGCGAACTCAAGCTTGATGTGACCATGGATGATGAGAATCCAGAGGCTGACATCCACTGGCACGGATCTGGTGGCGAGTCTGAACATTTCCACGGGGTCGACCTCAACTTCCTCCCAGGACCACTTAAGCGCCCAGTTCACTCCCGATTCTCTGGATTGATGTATAAGGCTTTCGAATTGGGAGTTTACGGTAAGTCAACATGCATACTGTCCATAGTTTTGCACACAAATTACTAACTATTCATAATTATAGGTTATTGTGATGTTACTCCTCACGCCGTCCAAACTTACGACAACGCTACCTACTTTGCCGATCTCTCCGAATGCTACACCCTCGTCTCTGGAGACTGCTCTGATAAGCCACGATTCGTCGTTCTTGGAAAGAAAATCTCCAATGACAAGCTTGGCCTTAAGATTATGGCTGGTGAGCACAAGGTTGAACTCAACGACATGAACAATGTCATTGTTGACGGAAAATCTCAATCCCTTTCCGACAAGCTCATTTTCCCGAAGGAGATACCAAGATCTTCAAGTAAGCAGACTACTTATTAAGTTCTTTTGACAAGACGCCAACTAATTCCTATGTAAATTTGACTACTTTTAGGATCTACAAGCACGATGACAACAATGTGTTCCTCTTGTCCAGACCATTGGGACTTGCCATCCGATACACCGGTCATTACACAACGGTCACGATCGGAAGCCGTTTCCGAGCCCAACAGTGTGGTCTTTGCGGCAACTTTGACGGATGCCAAAAGAATGACTTCACTGGTCCAGCCACGACCTGCAAGAATTTGCAACCAACTGACATGACCAAAGCCTACATTGTCCGCGAAGGAAGTTGCGCTGGTGTCGGAAGCGTTTGCCCCAGCAGTTAAATTAATCTGCCGACAACAACAGCATCATGTATTATTACTTGTACCAATTTAACTACCCAAAAAACTTGTCTAAATTTTTAACAGCTTAATAAATCGGAGCGAGACAAGGACTCCCCTTCAGAATATATTGTTCTGGTTAAAAAAATATATTCAGTGACTAGCCGTATATCATTTACATGCAAATTATTTTTACATAAATATGTATATGGTATGCATACTTATTTATATTGGTGCCTATCAAACTTTCAATGTATGTATACAGCATAAATAAAACCAAGGTTCACAATATAGTTATGTATGATCTCATATCGTAAATTTTTTTAGGATTCCTTAGACCAACTAATTGTCTGGAAGCACTTATGTATATAAATAGAATCTATCCTTCAAGGAATTGACTCTCAAGAAATTTTGAAAATGCAATTTGCAAAAAGCAATCATCTTTAATCTTGAAAGCCGGAAATTTGCACAAAATACTTTCATTTCATCTTTGAAAGAGTAATAAAACCATATCCGGCGGGACACGACTATTCGTTTGTACATTTTAATTTCCTTTAAAATAAGTCATTTAAGTGTCCAAGATGAAATTTTGTCCATTACACTAAATAAATACGAAAGTTTAATTAGTGATTAATTGTTTTTAAGCAGCTATCACGAAGACCTTAAAATAATCAAGACGAAGAAATTTAGGAATAATTACATCATAACATTGTTCATTCAGGTTTTCTGGGACCATTTTCCCTAAAATAAAGAGAACAGGCTATCCACTCTATAAAATTGGGGACAAATTAACCTAATTATTTTTACTTTCAAACTATTAAACAAAACTGCGGGAGGTCAAGTTCGTTACAATTTTCTTATGAGAGTGATCACTATTTAAAAGGCAGAATCAAGACATTGTTAATGCGATTATGTAAACTTTTTGATACGATTTTGGGGAACTCTGATGAGCAATTTTGTTAATTACTAAAACCCATTTGGTTGTAGTCAGTAAGAAAGAGAAGTCAAATGGTTCACCAAGTTTCTAGAAATGACTGATTATATCTATTATACTGATTACTGATTATAATTACTTTCTCTGTCTATGTTCTCTTCGGATCTCTCTAACTATAAGAAATATACATATATGTACATGGTGAATGTTGGTAAAAAATTATCGACGTAAACCCTGCTGATGAATTAATAAGTACATTAAAATATCTGAGGCATTTTGAGCTTCTTAATTTTTTAACATCTCAAAAACGCTTACGTTCATCAAATTAAAAAAGTTGCAACTGGAAACTGTAAAATTTGGGAAAGCACTTATCTGACCAATTTTCACCAAATTAATTATGAACGAGAAGTTAAAAGGCCTGCTGGATTACGTAAGAACTTTACAGGACGTTAAAAAGTAGCAGTTGCACTGTTCTCAGCATTCTTTGTGGGAACGTCAAGGTGGCAACTAAATGGCATGATTGGATTCTCTTGTTACTGCGAAACTAATTTCATTAGACAATTTTATTTTTAAAATCCCTGGACAATTCAACACTCATTTTTCTTAGATGAGGCCATAGTTACTATATGGAAAAAAAATCATCTAAGCAAGCATTCACTACAGGTTTGAAAAGCTTAATTTTTTCAGATCTCCGTCAGTTTCCAACCGATTTTAATGAAATTTTGGCCAGAGTTAATTATGGCTACATCGAGCAGAGCCCTGATTTGGCCGCCTGAAGCATCCAACGGTTTATGAGATATTCAATAAAAACCCAACCAATAGTGTGTTTTTTGGAGATTTAAAAAAATTTAAGGCATGCATGAAAAAAGTACACGGATAAAAAGTTGATACACATTTTCTATAAAAATACAAAATTAAAATAGACAAAATCGGTTTAAAAGTGAGAAAGTTTTGATGGTGGTGAAATGTAACCACTCCCACCACCGCCCAAAGTTGAGTTGCTAAGGTCGACCCAGCGACTTCTCAATCCAGAACCCATTTAGTATCTAGGTGATGCTTGGGGTCTCTTAAAGGTCATTAGTTGGTGGTCACATAAATTACTCTTCAATACGAACAAAAACTAATAAATAAAAGAAACCCAAAAAAGGAAAGCTTAGATGAGACTAAGAAGTGCGATAAAAAGTATTTAATAAATTTCTTCTCCAGTGAAGGGCACAGAATTTTAATATTTCCAGCATCAGCGCCCCATTTCATCCACTACCACGTATATACAAATATACAATAACTATCAAATTTGAAATATAACTCAGAGAGAAGTATTAAAATCATTTGTGAATTTTTCTTGTCACTAAAAAATTATGAATGCTTACAAATATACTGAAGGTTGATACATGATATACAGGTGTAGCCTAACATGGTCTACTTTTAATTATATGTACATAAATGCATACATGCTGCTTATGTACAGATATTAGAGTAAAATGAAATGGGTGCGCTGATGCTGGAAATTTTAAAATTCTATGTCCTTCACTGGAGAAGAAATTTATTAAATACTTTTTATCGCACTTCTTAGTCTCATCTAAGCTTTCCTTTTTTGGGTTTCTTTTATATTTTGTACCATCGGACAAACTTTAAATCTCAAACTTTTTTATCAACGTTAAAATACAATTTAGCATTTTAAGGTACATGGGAAATGCTTTACAACAAGTTCAAATCTTAAAACTTCCACTGAAGAATGTGTAACATTTTTTTCTTTCGTTGTTGTAATGAGTGGAAATCCAAGCTCATGTGGATCAATTATAAAAAATGCTACTCATCACTTGAATCTAATATCTATAATACCGCTTCACTTGTCATTTTTATATCTTCAAAGAGATTCTACATCAATCTCTACGGTACTTTTCGAAACTACGGCATTGAACTTCTTTTGAAGATTTCTGACAAACCACCAACCATGAAAGTACGACAATCCGGTCTCCAGCTGTGGTTCAATGTACATTTACATATGTATATGTACACACAGTACATAGTTTTCGAGGACATTATGCAATTTTTAACCCTCACGTACATACAACAATACAGAGATGCAAACTCTTATACCCATTTCCACACCCTATTCCGAATTAAACCAAAGTTTTCATGCAAATGAAGAGTACTTTTGTCTCAAAAATCTCATCATATTTAGCGTTTCATCTTTGTTTATACAGTTTGTGACATTCTTATCCTA